TAAGATATCTAAGGCCTAGGTAGGCTAGATTAATATACTATATTCGGTATCTACGTATAGGTATAAAACGTTAGATAAAGAGAAAAGGTCCTCTCCCCCCTATCTAGTATAGATCTATCTTCTCGCTTCGTCGTACGCCCTTACTAAGGGTGGCTAGCACCATGCTTTGACCAATTAGCTAGTAGACGGGCCACCCATCTAGTAATCTATTAGCTGGCTACCAGCGCGTAATAACTCTAAGATATACTACTATTAGTAGTATATCCATACTTATTAGGTAGCCTCTAAGGTTACCGTAACATATATAGCCATAATAAGGCGATTATTAGGGGAGTTAGCTTATTTATAGTTTCCTAATTTAGTAGCTAAATTATAACGATTATCGCGATCCTTATAAGTCCATGAGAACTCGGTCGGAATAGGATTAATAGTAACGTAGATTAAACTGTAATAATATAAGCCTAAGCGTAGAGTTAAAAAGAAGATAATGTTCGCCCTTACCTCTTCTATTTATGTGATTAAACGTGACGTATTTAGATTGCTAACGACAGGAGATTTAGTAGTGTTCGTAGAGAGAGGCTATAAAGTTGAATTACTACTTATACCTATTTGCTTCCTGCCAGTGCACTTTGCCTTTTTTACGGGTCGTAACTAGATTTTCTAGTAGTGCTACAAGTAATTAATCTTTAATAAAGCTGCACGCCTACCGTAGACCGGTTTATAGGTTCATAGATGTATATATAGATCTTGTGAATAAAGGCAGTACTATAATCTGTACCAGGCTAGAATGCTGCAACGGCACGGGAATCATTATTCGGTTGATGGGCATGTCTATAAAAGCTAGTGAAGCCTTCTACGCGGAAGATATTGATCTAAAAGCTTCCATGCAGCTCTTCTTTTCAACATGTGCACTTATTCCGAGATTCCAAAAACCTATCAAGGATGCAAGGAGACGCCCAAAAATGTGGTCAAAACTAGAAGAGAAGAGAATGTACAAACAGTTACGAGATTCTTTGTCTTAGATAGGCATATCAAACACATCTGTTCCGTATAAAGAATAGCGGCAGGTGCCAAGAGAGCTTCCTTCGTCTCGTCGCGGTTCCATGGTGAAGGTGAAAGTGAATAACCAGAGTAAGAAGCCCAAAGAAGCAAGAGTAACGTAGGGTCGCGTCACAATTGACTGTCTATAGGTATTGAGTAAACTTATAAGCTTTGCGCGTCGAAGATTGAAAGGTGAACCAACCTGCGCGCCTTAGCAAAAGCTAGTGGTGGGTGAATCGATATCTCGAAGTGTAGCGCATCGCTGCATCATATCGTCGTACGAACCGCTATCCGCACACAGGAAAAGGCTGCCCCTCGCACTGTGGCTGAAACCTGTGGTGCTAACCACGATCTGCGAGTGTTTGCAGAGAGCACTATACAAAACACGCATATCATTCTACAAGCTGGCCCGATCAGCGGCGCAAACCAAGCCAAGACGTCGCGTTCCTTTGTATCTTCGGGCCTGCCCTGCCAGTCTCTTCGCCCTTGGAGTATCACCATCTTTACACTGTTCGAAAACAGCTTGCGCTGGCTTCAGATCTTTTTTGTGGATGTTAGTCAGCGAATACAGCTTCACCCTGGGTATAGCCGCATTTACCCCGCAGTGACATCCTTGTTGTGTTGCAGCAAGGATTCTCGTTAGCTCTAAAAACTTAAGCCTTGCGGACTACTGTGGCGCAGTGACTGGCCGCTGCCTAAATCTCTGACGTGGCTAAAGCGCTCATCACATATAAGAGAGAGGCTGCAACAGCTGCCCCATGGGTTTTAAATCCATGTTTGTACTCAGATTCGATGATGGCTATGAAGAAGAACAAAAAAATAAGGCTACCAGAGTGTATTACCCAGGACGGTCCGCACGATAATTGTCAAACAAGATTTTCGCAAGCCGCTGAAAATGAAGACGTGAAAATAATTAAGCTGTTCCTCGAGAAGAGCTGCATTGATTTGGACTTTAGGAATTCCAATGGCCAAACAGCGTTGTCGCAAGCTGCACAGCTTGGGTGTGTGGGAGTGGTAGAGATGCTGCTTCACCATGACTATGGTAACGTCGACCCCAACTCCATGGATAATGATGGCCGAACACCGTTGTCTCGAGCTGCTGAACGAGGGCATATAAAGGTAGTTGAACTACTGATCAAGGACAATCGAGTCAACCCAGATCTAAGGGATAAGAAGGACCGGACGCCACTCCTATGGGCTACAGGGAACCTCAGCTCGAACCCTTTTAGTCGCCAAAAAGACAAGCACAATCCAACAATAGATTTGCTGCTTAAATACACTACTAAGCCAGACTCTAGAGATAGCATGGGTCGAACAGCATTGTCGCAAGCTGCAGAGCTCGGAGGTGTGAAAGCGGTGGAATTGCTACTTCACACTGACCAGGGTAGCGTCGACCCCAACTCCATGGATAATGATGGCCGAACACCGTTGTCTCGAGCTGCTGAACGAGGGCATATAAAGGTAGTTGAACTACTGATCAAGGACAATCGAGTCAACCCAGATCTAAGGGACAAAGAAGGTCGGACGCCGCTGTCATGGGCTGTCCAAAGTCCGCGCCAAGCCTACAAAATATGTTGCCTTCTACTTCAAGGGAATAAGGCTAGTCTCGACTCCATGGATGACTACGGTCGTACACCGTTGTCTAGAGCTGCGGGAGGTGGGGACGTGCAAATTATGCAATTACTCCAACGAAATGGCGCCAGCCCAGATTTCAAGGATAGAGACGGTCGGACGCCTTTATCGCAAGCTGCAGAACATGGCCAAGAGATGATGATAAAGCACTTACTCGCTCAGAACAGCGTCGATCCCGACTCTATTGACAAACATGGTAGAACTCCTTTATGGTGGGCTGCAGCAGCTGGGCATAGCTTATCGACCAGGTTATTGCTGGAAAGGCACGAAGTTGACCCAGGTTCAAAGGACGATAACGGTGGGACCCCACTTTCACGTGCCGTTGAGAATGGACATAAAGGCACGATTCGAGAATTCATTGGAAAGGACAAGGTCACGTTATATATGCTGGCAGCAAAGGGGAACCTTACACATTTACGAATACTCATTAAGGAAGGATACCAAGTCGACACCAGGGGCGTTGATGGTCAAGCTCCATTACATGCTGCGGCTTCATCAGGCCATGTCAACATTACAGAGGAACTCTTGAGCAGGAAAGCACTCATTAACTGCAAAGACTATAGTGGGAGGACTCCACTTCAGCTTGCAATTCAATATAGGCACCAAGAAATCATTCGTTTACTTCTTGAAAATTCTGCAAAGACAACCGGTATCCTTCCTAGTCAATGGCTTGTTGCATTCAACCGGGAGGCATCAGATATACTGGAACTATCGCAAATATCACGTGGGAAAAAGATCGTGCAATTCAGCCAGGGTAGGCCGCTCCAATTATCGAAGTCGACTAGGCGCATATCGTAAGTGTGAACATCTCCTTCCATATAGAGCTGCATATCTTGACGAGCGATTAGACTTTTCGCGCATTACTCTATGTGGTCCAAATATTCGACTTGGAATTTGAACAGTTCTCACCAATGTCATATGGACGTTTCTCTCCAACGTGGTCCATCAGAAATGACCTATAAGATACAGGGATGTAAAAACTATTTGGGTATCTCCGTTACTGGGTCTTTTCCAACAGAACAGAAAGAACGATACCAAGAGCAATCAGTGGAACTTCACTGGGATAAATGTGCTATCGCATGGACAATGGTCTGCTCTTCGAAAACGCCTGTTGGCTGGCAATCGATGGACCACTTCAGCATGCTTCCCCACTGTTGGCTTCCGGAGGATGGGGCCAACTTCTTCGCGCTTTTTGTACAGCAACTCAAGACCAAATGGCTTATGTTTTGCACCTCGGCTGATGAACGCTTGTCTCAACGTGTAAGCAACTATTCACTAATCATTATACGCTTTACTAATTATTCCGGTACTTTTTTTAGCGCCTAGATCAACTGTGCAGTAAAGGAAATAGTATTGAACTAATACATTACCTAGCAGAAGATGCACAGGAATGGGCCAAGCTTCGAAAAGCCTTAAGAACTCAAGTGCAAGCAGTCAGAGACTTTATTAGGGACTATTGCCGCTACTGCGAGCAAGAGTATTCAAAGACAATGCGGCTACCCATAGACCAGTTTGATACCGATGTTAACGAAAAGATCAACCAGCTAGACCAAACTGTAAAGGATCTCCTACAATTTGTTTGTATATTCTACACTATTATATTACTTCGTTAGCTGACCTGAAGTAGGAGTTCGCCTGGGTGTCAATCAACGAGGCTCACAGATCGACGAGTATCGCCACAAGTATGAAGCGGCTCAGCTGGATTACGGTAAGACTTAGATAACCTAGTTTCTAATTGCGATTGATGCTTATATACCGCTTAGTTTATCTTTTTGCCTGCTATGTTTACCTCGGTAATACTCAATACACCCTGATGTTACACGGTTAAGCTGATTAGATGGATGTTATTAATAGAGTCTATTTGGTATGAATGTGGATATTCTACAATCTAATCCAGACTGGCGTTGGTACTTGCTGTTTAGTGGAGGCTGTCTAATCCTGACCGTCTTGGTATGGCTTCTTTCTAGACATGGCGAGGTTCGTGATCTGCTATTTTAAAAGCGTGAGCTAGTTATATATATTAACCGCCTCTTAGATTAAGAGATTCATTGAGAAGTACCCCAGCAATCGTTTTCAACGACGGCCAAATAGCCCGACAGAGCACAAGCAGCGATTAAAGACAGACCTGCAGATCTTACCAATATACAGTCAAGTGTCAAGAGTTTGGGATACCCGTGGAAACGCTAGCCGAATCAGGTAGAAAATCAATTCTTTCCAAGATGGATATTTTAATTGATTTCTGGCCCAAATCAGTTCCTTTTTTGATTGATTGATAGGTGGAGACTCCATCTATTCAGTACTTTGTTTGCCAGCCCTTTGCGCGACCTACAGAGGAGAGGCGGCGTGGCATGCTCATAATGAGGGCCTTGATCGGACGCCGAGGTATCCTCCTCCATGAGGCCTTCAAGCACTCACGAAAGTGCTCCCAGTCCTCTCCTCCTTGGCCCATCTTATGTAGATATGGGTAGTCCTTGGATACCCGCTTCTTGAGCGCCCACCAGAGGTGTTCAATTGGGTTGAGGTCAGGTGAATATGGAGGCCGATCGTCTGAACACTATGATCGAGCATCCACCTACGCACTTTCTGTGAGGTGTGGATAGGCGCGTTTTCTGGAGACTTGTTGTCGTCATGTACCTGGAGCTTACGGCGCTGACCTGGGTCCGGATCCTAGGGACGTCACGCTAGCAGCTAAGGCCTTTGGATGGAACGGACCGCGTCTTGCCCAGCTCAAACGTCGCTTCGACCCGCACAATGTGCTAGCTTGCGCCTGCCCACTCCCACAAGCGCCCACGAAACAGAAGCTTATCATCCTGGTCACAGGAGAGAGCGGTGTCGGCAAGGATCGCTGTGCCAAGGTTTGGGTTTCTGTGTGCACCAGATACACTTTTAAAAGCCTCACGGCGCGTGTGGTCAGCATCAGCGATTCTACGAAGCGAGGATGCAGCGGTTACCGGCAACCCAAAGCGGTTATGCTTAATTTTACTCTGTCCAAGAGGAGGGAAACGGATGGGGGTCGCTTTGCGAGTTTGGGTATGTTGGAGGGGAGACAGCTATCGCCTTAAGTCTTTTGGGCGAGGAGGCGCAGTTCAGCGTTGAAATCACTGTCTAATCGCAGACGTGTAAAAGCATGAGAGGGGCTGCTATCATATCACGTGATAAGCTGGCATCCTCATTTTCACTCTACCACCACGAACAAAACTAGGAGAGAAAAAACCTCAGCAACACAGTCTTTGCTGTCAAATCCTCCAAGAGACCGGCATGTGTATTAGTTCCTTTTGCGTTTACCAGAGCCTGTGTGTTATTCTCTAGACAGTAACCCAGTAATTTAGGAAATACAGCGACATGCTTGCAGCCTACAGTCCGGAATGCGTAAAAGCAGCTGACAACTGGTACTTTAACGCCAATTAGCACATTCTCATGATTGAGAAGCCTCCTATGCCTGTCACACGTATCGTGCAGTGGTGGTACAGTATGCGGTTGCGTTCCACGCCGCAATAGCCAGCCACACCAAGTTTGGGGCCTACAAACTGGAATATGTAGAAGTGGGTGACGGCTACTTTTGCAAAATCAATTGTCACAATCACGTGATTGGTTAAATCTTCTTCGCCTCGCATGGATATTGTACTGTATAGTCGCTAGCGAAATCGGCAGCACCTTGAACGCGGCTGTGATTCTATCCCGACTATAAGCGAAAGTCTTGGTAAATTAGTCAGGGACCGATAGCTCTAGCACGTGATCTGTCACAGTATGAAGCATCTCCCCAACAGCTTGTGCTACGTTTTTCTATGCTAAAGGCGTCAGGGGCCTACTGTAATTAGGCAGAATTGCTAAATAACCTTCGAATCAAGAGTTAATCGCCGTTCGTCTGCGATATCCGATCAAAAATCTTTTGAGTGTTTACTCTAAGTGCTCCGCAATCTCTATTTTGCGCGTCCATTCTGTTCCAGGCAAATGCCCTCAAATCAGACAATGCGTACGAAAATTCTTGAGTTAGACTCAGGTACCAGTTTGCTGAGCCAATTAGAAGAAACGCAAGATGTGCTGGAGCGTGCTTTTGAGTCATCTCTCTGATGATCCCTTCTTTGATTTCTTGGGCCTGATTATTGCCAGGAATGAGACTAGGCATAGTGTACCTGAATTTCTGTTGACGAAGGATTCGATTCACTTCGTCTACTGGCTCGCGCCGCGTGTGGTTAATAGATGGAATATCTTTGTCTGATAGATTTGTAGATAGAAGATTAAAGCTTGGAAGCTGTGCACCAAGCTTGAGCCCAGCTATGCGTCGAATCACAGAATCGCAAATGTCCCAAGGCACTGACCTCACTTTGGTTGAATGAGTTTCTTTGCGATTGAAGAGAATCCATCAGAACGGCTGCCAACCCGTTAGTGTTGGGTGTCTAAGATGAGTTCTTCGACGTAACGTACGCGACTCAATCCTAGCCTTAGCCTTACTTCTAAGCTCATTGCTGATATATCCTCTGAAGACGCTTAATATAGCACGATAGCCTTCATCGTCCCTACTACTATATCTGGCCATCTGCATATGATCTACATTGATGCTTTCAACAGTCTCCAGCGTTTGCGGAAAATCGAGCTTGGACGAGAAGTCATTCATAACCTGTAGCGATTAATATTATATAGATCTACCCGCTTATACACGGCAAAGGATTACAAAAATCACGCACTTTTTCTTGTAAACCTTTTATCCCAGAAATTCCGCACACCTCCTGGAAGGAATGAATCTTTACGTCTAAATTGTACCCATACGTCCATATTTGTGTTTGAGCGACATCCTGCGCAAGATAGTCTTCTGGCCAAAAGATCGTAGACGGTGGCAATGACGACGAGGCATTAGTCCCGGAGGGCCTGACCATCGATCGCTTGAATAGGGACCTTAAGCTCTTAGGTAGTTTAGTCATGTCGCTACCGTTGCCGCTGTGACTCGCGCTTACCGCTGCCTCCCAGGTTCCTTGAGGGTGATCTCGAAGGCTATGGACGACTATGATACTGAAGATCATCAGCAGAATTATTCTAATGTGTGAGGATGCGATCACACTTCAGGAGAACTTGGTCATTGTCCTTTCTTATAGCCTTCAGCTTCGTGAAGTTGAGCTGGTGTATGGCTGTCATGCGCGTGGCACGTCTGAAAGCGCATTGGTTTACTTGGCTTCCAGTTGGACCCTTAGATCATCAATCGTGCCGTTTGGTGGTCTTCAGTGCGTGTACGTTGCAGAGAAGACTAAATTAAGGCGGGACGTCGCAGGCAGCATTAACCTCAGCCTCACACACAACGGCTATGCTCGATGCCTTGGTGTCCTACCAGCTACTGGGGCGCAGCACTAGACGAGTAAGGAAGATGGAGTGCGGAAACCCTCACGAGTCTAGGTCAAGTATATGCCTAGTAATTACCTCCTCTTCTAGCTTAGTGAGCTTCTTTAAATTGAGCTCACAATTGCGTCGCGTAGTGATTCCAGCGCGTTAGCGGCGAAGCGTGGTTTTAGAGACTCAAAATAACTGCTGCAGCGCGCCTTCTACTTTATAATTGATTCTGATTGATAGCTGTGATAGCTAGAGATATATGAGCTTCATTGTAGCATGATTGAATAGTGGTTGGTTGATCCATTGTGATTAATAGGTGACGCGTCGCGAAATGTTGGTGGGTTGCGCCGCTCGGCACGGTAATGTCAGACGGTGAAACTTGATGCCGGAAAACCAACGAACGGTACTTCGCCACCCACACCACCCTTCACGCCAACCCTACTTGTCCTGTGTGACGGGAAACATGAAGAACTGCCAACCCCAAAAATGGGAAACGGGAAGCTAATGCGAAAAATGAGAAATAGAAAGTAGAATGTCAACGAGAAATGGAAACGTGGCCGTAGTTCATTGGATCAAGAGATCCGCTGTGCACAGGGTGCTTATTCGGCACATACACAGTAGGTCACGGACACGAGGGAAAGCTTTGACTGCACTGATCGCGTATAATACTGTGTCAAATATATCTGATAGTCCCTCTCATCTAGGTAAACCTTGTCAGATAGCACGTAGAGATGGATATCGTAATGGCTGTCAGGCCGAAGTTGATGATTGATTGTTCTGTCTAGCTACGGGGTTCTTCGGATTGATTTTGCTCCTTCTTCGGATAAACTCCGGCTCCCGCAGTCTTTCTTCTTGGTACCGAACTTTTGTTTCTTGGGCACGAAGGTAACTTCGTAGGCTCTTATCTGACAATATTAGTTCGCCCTCCTGCTATAGCAATGTAGTATGAAGATGGAGTCTTAAATTATACTATTCGAATAATTCAAATCAGATTATATTCATATAGTTACTATCTCTGTGGGATCGTACGGAGGAAGTCTCGGTTATAGAGAGTTGCTCTCTACGATAGTGTGTAATTACAGCAAAATTAGTGTTATAATAATTACTCTAGAGGCCTAAAGCCCCGTAGGGCATACGCACCAATTGCTCCTAAGAAGCGTAGAAAGAGGAGAGAGAGGAGAGAGGTTACCCTACTCTCTATAATGGTGCTTCGCAGCTCTCTGTTAAGTCGTTTACGAACTAACATAGTCACGGCGTCCCTCATGTAACCGCATGAGATCTGCCCGTACGGATCTCAGGGAGATGGGTACGGACATGTAGAGAATACAGTATAGGTATCACGTCTACTCTCACGCGTAGACTCAGTAGGGTCATCAGTGTATCTTCTGGTTTGAGGCAGCTTCGAACAGTATACTGTCATGTAAGATGAGACGATTCGCTACCGGATTACTCCGTCAGTGATCCTCTGATATACATGATCCTGGAAAGATCTAATGTGCCTCTGAAGGTTCCTGTTCGTTTCATGCGGCTCCGAACAGGACCTCCAGGTGCCCATCAGGTCCAGTTCCTGACAATAGGCGTGATGGAGTGAAATACCCATGGTGGATCGAGAGACGCCTTGGGCCGAGGGATACGAGCGATCCCATGGCTTCGAATAAATCGGTCACGTTTATTGTGTTTTGTTCTTTCTTCCATCATAGAGGTGGCAGTATGACGGTGCATTCTCTATTTTGGCATGTGATTTGACACGACTGATAAGGGTATCATTGTTGAGAGCTACGACTCAAAAGGTCATTCTCTATCTTATAGCGCCTATTACAGACGGGGTTACCACAAAGCCAACTCTCTCAATTGTGCCGTGCGTCTCGCGGGTATCCCGTCCACAAAACTCTTCAGTGGCTAGCAGATCCATGTCGCCTATCCGAAGCGCCCGCCCCGAGGTGGGAGATAGACCTTGAAAAGCTGGTGTAAACAGAAAAGTAGACTTATCTGCCTGATATTAGCACAAGCGGGAAGCGTCTACAGAACTTCACATACCTCTGTCGCCCAAGTAATGAACTCCTCCTCATCTATACTCTCGCTATATCTAAACCCAGGATACACCGGCTCTTTACAATATGGAGGTGTAAAGGCCGAAACAAAGGTTTGTAGAAGCTGTATTTGTGAGGCAGGTAGTGGCTCCAGGGGTTGCGCATCTTGTACAGGTTCTAGTCGCTCAGCCAGTGGTACAAAATCGGCGTAATGGTGGCGATCGAGCCAGTTATCGCCATTGATTATGGTATATCCTATTACATCGCAAGGATACGCAGTCTTGCATATAACATCAAGAACGTCGTCCTGAGTTGGAGCTCCAGTGGGTGGACGCATCAACGCCGAGTAAAGAAATGATAGTTGCCTTTTTTCAGGACGCGGGCGGATTTGCTGCTTGCTTCCCTTCGACCTGCCTTGACTCCAACACGACTCGCCCCGTTCCGTCAGTAATATCATTGCGCGACATAAGGCATCTTTTGTAAGTGTAACGGGGGTCGAGAATGGAAAGGAAGCGTAGGCTACAATCAATCTCTCAAGCATTGGAGCTATGGATTGTATAACATCAGCTTTGGAAGGGTGGACTTGTGAGAGGTTGTCAATAATCGAGGTGAGCGGGATCTCATCATCGGAAGCAGCAACGAGGCCAGCTATGCGCTCGTCAAAGTACTCGCGGTCGGCTTTGGGGCAGAGTGGGTCCCAACATTCATTTCCCTCCTCAAAATAAGCAAGGAACTGATTCCTTATACCGTCTGAATTTGATTAGTCGACCAAAGGCATTGGTGTACAGATAGATGCCTTGTGTTTCGTACCTTGGGTGATGTTCTGGAACCACTCTTGGAATTCGGCTGCTGTATTCTTCGGCCGGTGGAAAAATCTCCATAGGCGAACAGGAAATATCGCCATACTCTGGATTGCGTCAAGAGGCAAAGTTGAGCGGGCAAGGTCCGAGTGGGTGAGTGAGCGAGCGGATGTCGTAGAAGGGCGTTATTGTCGTGGTGGGGGATGGCAGCACCTACTTCTTGACACCTACCTATGGTAGCTAGGTCGATTAGTCAGCGCAGGCTCAGCCCTGTACGACGTTGCACTGCCATGACGATTTATCCGGTTGTCATCAAACCCACAGTGCGGCCTTTTGGTCGGCGACACGGTAATATAGTCGCCACGCAAGGCAGTCAGAAGTCTCGGGCTTTTGATACCTCTGCTTACCGTGTCCGTGCGCGTGATGCGCCCATTCGCGTGATGCGCCACCCCTGAAAAATCGCTCAATCTTCACAACCTCAAAACTCAACCAATATGGATCCGATTAATGAAGCAGTTGAAGAAATTGAATCCCTAGGACTAGGCGAAACTTTCTCCTATTGAGAAATCGCAAAAAAATATGGTGTTGTACGCTCGACGTTGACGCGTAGGCATAAGGCTGTTATAGTACTATATAACACTAAGATCCTTAAGTAGAAAAAGCTCACTCTATAATAAGAGCTAGAGCTTGTAAGCTATTCTATATAGCTTATAGCTCGTCGGCTACTACCTATAAGAGAGATAGTATAAAATTTCGCTTCTATAGTTGTAAAAGAGCCTATAAGCGAGAGCTAGGTGTTATAAGGGGTTTCCACGTACCTAACCATAGGTTCGGACCTTACGGGTATTCAGTGATTTGAGCGTAAGGGATAATGGTACCAAAGAGGTTAGGTGAATATCCTACACCATACGGTAGTACGATGCAATAAATATTAAGAGAAGGCTAATGGTTTGTATAAAGACGAGTGGCTTCAATTTAGATATAAAAGTAAGCTTTTAAAGTTGACTATGAAGAATAGAAATGTTTAAAGAACGTCTAAGACTATATACCTATCTTTCTATCCTTTGTGGTCCTGGTCTGCTCCCTCACCAATGCCTTCTTGGCGGGAGTAACCTTCTTTAGAAGTATCTTGCTCCCTTACTAATGCCTCCTTAGTGGGAGCACCTTCCTGCTCCCTCACTAAGGTCCTCTTAGTAGGAATATGGTCACGTAACCACTTATGCTAACGTAACTAGGGTGGTCACTTAGCATCCTTTAGTGCATTAGCCTCTAGGTCCTTTACTAGGTTCTTCCCGTATATCACCTTTATCTTCCTATAGTAATTCTGTGTAATTGTAACACTACTACCTACTAAATAGACCTACTAGAACTCAGCAAGGTCTATCTAGTATTCCATCTATCCCTTTTGGAACTATACACTCTACGCGGTAGACTAC